CCCCGTTTGTTTCCATTATTAACTTATTAAAATAAAAAATATGACCGTTATTCATCACGTCAAACCATCATATTTGACTTTCTATCTCTCGTGTGGAGTTTATAACGTCTATATTTTTCATTCTCATTTTTACATTAATGTATATCAAACGGGGCGTAAAATTCATATTGTGCCTTTTTTGATTAATAATACGCCACTCTCGATTTTTGAAATACTTAAATTAACATTTATTAAAACAAAAACTTATACAGTCTGATCCATAATTGTATTTTTATTTTATTTTTTCATTAAACCAAAAACCTATTCAAGTCAAAGATCTCAATAAAACCTAAAAATATTAATTCATAAGATCAAAGTTGATCATGCCCAATCTCAATCTTCGACCCATATAACCAAAGATCCTTCATAGCTCATATAAAAACAACCCCTGACTTTATGGAGCCCTAAACTTGATGTCACTGTCTAAGACTCCTCCACTAATACCTTCACATCGAGGCACAACCTTGAGTTCAAGGTTGAACCCAATGGTTAGAGTAAATCTGCAAATAATGGGACTAACTCGAGTATAAGTAACTTACACACGCTCTTCAACATCAACCATTACGATACAATGAAGGAAGAGCTATCCAACTACGTTTTATTCTTCACACTTGCACCAAGACTTTTTAGTCTATTGGAAGTCCTAGTTCTCCAGACCATTTCTGGTCTTGCACCTGTCAATACTACAAAATAAATAAATAAAATTAGTAGGTTACATTGCAATAGTCCACCTGAAATTTTATAATCACATATTTAGAGACAATGGCCTTTAGCATTTGGAATTTTTTTTTTTTTTTTTTTTTTTTTGCCCTCTTCTTTTTTTTTTTTCCAAAAAATAATAATAATTTTTCTAAAACTTTGTGATGGAGATAAATCGTGGGATGTGCCCTCAACAGATTAGAGAACAAGAGATGCTTGTACACAATACCTACAAAGAGTCTAACTTAAATACTTGTATGTTTATTATTTATATTTAAACAATTCAAGATTTTAATCATAATAATTAATGGCCCTTATAACTTATTTAACAACATCAATTGCTCTTTGAACTTTTTGAATTCTAATATAGTCGCTAAGACTTGGGGAGTTAGATACATCTTGATAATATGACTTCTCTTTAGCTGAAACTCAATTATTGTATTTATATTTAAATAACATGAGATTTTATCATTCAAATAAAAAACTTTAAAAAAAAAAAAATTCCTTTGTGTTATTCTTTAACCACTTCCATTTGTTTTGGTATTCACATTTTTATTTCTCTTTACCTATTTTTCCTTCCCTTTTTTTTTTTATTTATTTTTCCATTGGGAATTGAAATCGCATGAGCTCCAATCATGGCCGCTTCATTTAACATTTCCAGAATTTCATGCGCTACGAGTTGCAATAATGGTATTAAAGAATTATCAAAAATCAAAACAAATCCCCTTACAATAATATGTTCTTGTTTGATAGGGATTTTGATAATTAATTTTTTAATCGTTAAAGATGAATTGGGTTCTACTTTTGAGATAAGAATTCAAAAATGACGACTGTAATAATGAAATAACAGTCAAAAAATTGATTTTAATTGCCTTTTATATATGTATAGTGGTCACGAGACATATTCTCAGTTACTATCAAACAACTCTATTTAAATCAAGAATTAAGGTAAACTTAGATTTTGTTTTATTATTTCTCTATTATAATTAAATTATGGGTCTTTCTTTATAAATATACACTTTACGACTTTAATCACTTTTTCTACAGATTTAAAATCGTATTAGAATGGTGGTGTGAGCATTCGGTATATCATTTATTAATCAATCTCCAATTCCTTGATTGAGGTCTCTTTATAAAACTTGTTAAAGGAAATGAGTGGTTGGGCCCGAAAATATTTATTATATTGTTGCTAAAAAAATTGAATTTATGATAGATCATGCATGATATTTACGGTTACAAATTTTAACTACTAGACATGTATACATTTATAATGAAACAATCATGCAGTACATTCAAACTCAAATTTAGATGGGACACGTGTCGACACATGATTTAATTGTTTGAAAAATTAAAATAAAAATACCTAATCATTTTCTGACCCCATCAATTTCTTCTTTCCTTGTTTAAATAATCTGGACAAATGGCTTTATTCATAATGAAATAATGCTATTTAATTCAATTGAAATTGTACTGTGACACTAAATGAAAGATGAAATTAAATAATTTATTTAATTCTATCTATTATTTAATGTCATATTAGCGATACCTAAATTGAAATTGTAACTCCAGTGAGATTAAATAGCATTATTCTTTATATTTTTTTAGTTTTTTATAAAAATATTAAATATGTTAAGTAGAAAACAACCGCTGAGTGGATAAAAATTGTAAGGGTGACAGTTGAGATATAACTCGCGATTTACCCTCTCCAAGGTTTTAGGGGCATGGGTCTTGGAGGTCCATGATTTAGTCTGATATAAACTAGGATACCTGAATATAAAAAAAAAAAAAAAATTTGTAAGGGTGCGGTCCACAAAGTCGCACGTTTCGTTTTCTTAATTTGAAATAAAATATTATATGGACATGACAGGTGACGTGTCTTTGCACGGAAAGTCAATAACGTATCCCAGTTTGAAGATCCCACTCAGCGTTTACACCAAAGTACCAAACCCTACTGCATTTTGAATACAATATTGTCAATAAAAGTATTTCTCATAAATACACGATATTTTGCACTTTGCATAAAAACGGAATGATGTTAAAAAATATAAGTATCACGGTATAATATTCTTGAATAAAGTTTACATTTTGTATTTGTTTGGCATAAATTAATTTATAATTATTTTGCTCAAGTTTATTTTCAATCAGGGATGGATCAACAAGTTTTGTTAAGTGGGACTGAAACTTTAAAAAAATCGTTGTTATAAAATTTATACGTAACAAAAAGTTGGTTAAAGGAAATTTTATTTAAATTGTTCCTTTCGAAATTTCGTAACATAATATTCATTTATAATAGAATCTAGATGTATTTTCTCAATACGTTCTTGTTCATGAAATGTTACATTGTTGATATGAAATGTTGACATTCGATCAATCCATTATGAAGTATACTTTTAAAAAAAATGTTCATTATGAAACGAACTTACTATTCTGGAAAATTATTTTTCATTTCAAACATTCTATCATAAACAAACACTTGAGCATAAATGAATATATATGTTGTATATACAGTAAACATAAAACTGAATAGTATGATAGAATTGTTTTGTAAATAACTTGGAGCATATCCAATGCAATCATGAATTGTTTAAAGATTTTGTCACATAAGTGAAAATAGACAGTTTATATAAAATCTCCAATTTAACTTGACAAGAACTCTATTAAGTTGACGTTATGACATAAAAATAGACAATGTCACGTAGAGATTTAGGCCCCGTTTGGTACACATTAATGTAAAAATGAAAATGAAAAATATAGTCGTTACCGGTCTCATACAAGAGATAGAAAGTCAAATATGATAATTTGATGTGATGGATAACGGTCTTATTTTTTATTTTAATGGCCAAATAATGGGAAACAAACAGGGGCTTAGTTAGACAAGTTGACTTAGGGTATTTTTAGCATGACTTTTGCTTTTACTTTTTATAGAAAAACTTCGTGATTTATTTTTTGAAAACTAATTTTTTAAAGGTTTCCTATTTCGAAAGTGTTTAATTAAATTTGTCTTTAATTAGTATTTGGACTCTTATTTATTGCTTTAAATATAAGTTTTAAACTTTATATTATTTAATGGAGTGAAATTTGAATGTTGAGTTTTCGCCAATTTCTTAAATGGTTGTATTTGATATTTAGAAATCAACAAGTCCAATTTTATGTATTCATGCACGAATCAAAAAGTTTTGGTGCCTGGAATTTTCAATTTCTTAGGAGTCAATAGAAACTAGAAGGTCGTCATGTTTCAGTATTCATTTGTAATTAATGAAATTTCGATAGCGTGTTCGTCAATTTATTTAATGGCCCCCATCGCACTACATCAATTTATTTATTAAACATCACTATCCAATCAAGTGAAAATTTATCTCTTTAAATGTAACATAGATTTTGATCCACCGATTAAACATTGGAGACATGATATAATTTCGTATTTCTTAAAACCTATTCGAGTATTATCCGAAAGAATGGAAATGATCAAGAGTTGAGCAGTCCAATGAGTCGAATTGAGATTGTAAAAATAAATAAATAGAGTACATAATTTTGAGAAAGATAAGTTAATTTTTCAATGGTCAATCGGATCCGATCTTGACAAGATATGAAGTAAGAATTTGAAAATGACTTTTCTTTTTTTTATCCTTTTATTAGAGGCGTGAACAACACTTTCATTGTCGTGATCTGATAGTACAGATTGAAAGAATCAAAGGAAGTTGCCTTGAAGTCTCATCTATAAAAGTCGCATCCAATTTATTGTCATTTACGTGTCAAACATTAATGGCCGAAGTTATTGACTTCTATTCCACAAAAAAAGACCTTTCAAACGTTTGACGACTCAACTCTCCAAATTGATTTTTTTTTTAATTCCCCCAAATCAGCAACTCCCCTTGTATAGGGAAACCCATTTGGTCTTTTTTTTTTTTTTTTTTTTTTTTTTTTTTTTGTCATTTTTCAATTGAAAGCTGCGAAGTATAATCTGTTGTAACTCTGGCAACATTTTTTGTACACATAGCAGTTTGTTTTCCAATTATTTGAAACCGACACTGTGAAGGTAAAGATCAAAACCAATGACATTCTGCCAGGTGTCCATTTGTGAAAAAATTCTGTGATATTAATCACCTAAAAATTTACCCTAATTAAGATTTTTCAGACATTCATGCTTAAAATGGCGAGCCATTAAACCTAAAATGGCAATTTGTGCTGCGGATAAAGGACACCGTTAAATATATTTTTGGATTCGAAAGCGTCCTCATTTGTGTACAATACATAAAACAAAATATATGAACAGGTAAATTCACATTAGAGTCTCATAGTTTAAGAAACATAATGAATGAAAAATCAGAAATAAAGGTATTTTGATATATAAGTGTAAAAAGAAAAAAATTGCCACAAACAAATAACTGAAACGGTAGGATTAATTCTCCAGAAAACTGCTGGACTTGTTGCTAGTGCTTGTATTGTTATTGGGAGTGTCACCAATGTCTGGACGTGAGCCACCCATGATGGAGGTGATTGCCGCGGCAAGGGCGGCAGTGAAATTGGGATCAGCTGTGATCGCTGCAGTGGCGGCACTTATGTCAGCGAAGGAGTGGTGGTGCTGCGGTGGCTGAATTTGTTCAATATTCTGAGAACTTTGTAAACCCGAAAATTTGGACTGGTTGACCATGGCTTGCCCAAAAACCTGAGGCATTTGCGAAGTTGGAGCTGAAACAAAGTTTTGAGGAGGGACTGGGAAAGGGACTTGGTATTGAGTAGGGGGTACTCTTTGGAGTTGTAATGGATTTGGACTGTGAGTTAGGTCTAAAGTGACCGTAGGAAAAGGAGCGGAGGCAGAAATTGTTGCCATGTTTGATGAATAAGGAAGAATAGTTCTTGCAAGAAAATTGGGATTCATCAAACCATCTGCACTGGGCATAGATCCTGAAAGAAGCATACTAGCTGCGGCCGACGTGGTTGACGCCATGGCCATGGCGGCCGGAGGCAGTGGATGATTATGGGTTCCTTCATAGGTTGTGGTCAAGATTGTTTTGTCCTCGGCACACCTTTGAACCTGTGATTAAACATAACATAAAATTAGACTAAAAGGCTAAAATTACATTGAATTCAGAAAATTTATTTCTCAAGAAGATGAAAACATACTTGTTTGCGCACTGGACAACCGACTGCCATGGTGCAACGATAATAAGCTCGTGGACATGGGTTTCCTTTTGCCATCTTTTGGCCATATTTTCTCCATTGGCATCCATCAGAAATCTGCAAGTAATCAGAGATAGGGTAAGATCTTCGATATCGAAATTCAACTAAATTTCAAAGAAAATTAACGTAATAAACTCATAATTACCATCGGAGCTTCTGACCGAACTCGAACCGAAACACGAGCTTTCTTCATGGTAGCCACGGTGGATTGATCGACCGGCTTCGAGGGATTCAACTTGGGAATCTTGTTAGGACCACAACTGTCTGATTCTGGACTCTCAACACGGCCAATCTTTTTTGTAAGGGATCCAGAGGGTGTTCTTTCTTCTGTTGAAGTATTAGAGAGATCATCAATTTCCCTGGCAGGGCCTAAGTCCAAGAATTGTCTTTGAACTGTTGCCCCTCCATTTTCTTCTTTCTTCTCTTGAGATTTTCTGTCTAAAATCTGAACCCGATGTACAAGTAATAGTATATTATCATCACAGCAACAACGAAAAAAAAAATACAGATTGAATTCAATAATTAATGCAAATATTACCTCTCGTTCTTGTGTGCCATCATGTGCTGTTGAATTTTGCTGCTGTTGCATTAACGCCACAAGATGCATCTGCAACGCACTATAATTGCTGCTAACCTGACTTAGCATCCCTCTTAGCCTTTGATTTTCAGCATTCATTCTTTCGAGCTCGACTTTCAATTGTGTTAGCTATATTACAGAAAAAGAAAGACGATCTAATTAAAAATTTAAGTTAAGACTAAGCAAACTGTAATTAAAATTTAAGCTGGATCTCCTCAATTACCTCATTTATTGCTCGCTTATCTTCTACCTCAGATGAAACGCCATCGTCCACCGTTAATTGATCACTTCCATTATTAGCAGTAACAAGTTGCAAACCGGTCTATACAGATATAAAGTAACAAAAAACCTAATAAACACCAGTAATAATCTAAACTGCATGGCCAAAAATTCTTATATGATATCCAATACTACTTACGTTAACATCAGGTTCCTTTGCTGTGAGTGCATCTTCCTTTTTGACAGCCATATCCTTGATGGGCCTATTCTTATCGGAAAAGAAGTCTACTTCTCCTAAAACCACCCGTTTCTCATCGGCCGGAGATGAAGTAGAATGTTCTTCTCTACCATTCAGATTCACCGGAAACATTTTATCGATACCCTCTTTAACATTTAACCTTGGGTTCATGTTAAATCCGAGATCTGCCTTGCTCGTGAAAAACCCAGTAGGATCAGAATTTTTAAGCGTAAGGCACCATCCTTTGTCCATAAATTATCTAGAATTCAATATCAAATAGAGCTTCAAATGGGGAAAATGAAAACGATTGATTGTTTATCAGGAAAATGAAGAGATGGGAAGGTCGAGTCTGCGAAGTCTTCATCAAGCGCGATTAGCAAGTGTATATAAAAATGTTGGAGGAAGAGAGAGACAAAGAAAACCTTTCGCGAAGACCTTTGACGATTTGGTACGGGCGTGCGATCTGAGTGAGAAGGCCAAGGAGGATTTGATAATGTTATCGTGAGTCAGTATTGTTGCCAGGTTTCATTGGGACCCACGTATTAGAGTAAAAAAAATTTCCTAAAAAATGTGTAATTGAAAATTTTTTGAAAAAAAAAAAAAAAAGAACTTTAAAGATTTTATATCAAACGTGAGATTAGCAACTTGTAAAAACTGGATAAATTTCATTCAAGGTAACTATCTTTAATTTTTTTTTAATCCGACAGTTAAATTTTAGTATAATTACAATTGCGTACCCACACTTAATTTGATTTCAATCGAATAACGATATTTAAATTTTATTTCAAATAAGATAACTTTGTCAAATTCTACAAACAACAATCACTGGCATGATAATCATTAAAGGATGTTTATCATATGTAATCGTTACTCACTGACACGATATAAGTACAATTTTATGGAAATAAATTGTGATGTCATTTTATCAATTGTTATATTATCGATTTTCGTCGATCCAAGTGATGGAATTAAACAATAACCTATGAATCCCTCAAAATATTTTTACGAAAAGGGGTTCGAATGCTTATAGCTATCGTGAATAAAATTTATCTTGTAAAAACTAGATTTATGATAGCATTCAAATTTAAATTTAAATAAATTAAAATATCTTCTTAATAATTGAGATTTTTTCGTTTAAACTTTAAGGACTGAATTTGACTGGTTCATAATGAAGAAAAAGAGAGGGGGAGTAGCTGTACGAATCCAGCTGCCCCGTGCGATCCGGCACTTTCCACGTGAGGAAAAAGAAAAGGTAACAGAAAGTAAACGGATTTGATGGCCAATATATTTTCAGGTGTGAAATTGTAGAAAAATAAATGGGAGCTTAGACTTTGGACTTTGCCCGAAATTTGTTAGTACAATTATTTTCTTCACTAAATAGATTTTGGAGGAAATTTCACAAAATGTTCATTTTTACTAGTTGTTTACAAAAATATCTAATTTTAAATAATTTATATCAAAATACCCTTATTAACAATTTATAATTTCACACTAAGACAAAAAAAAATGACATTTTTGCAATATTGTTATTGACCAATAAAATTTTGACACATAACCTGTCATATTTATTTCAAAAAGTATACATGTCAAATTACAATAAATGCTATATTTTTCATTGATTCAGAGATGTCGAGAACGACATTTTTAAATGTAGAGAAATGTCATGTTCAAAATGAAATGTCATTCTAGACAAATAAAACAGTATTCAAATGTCGAGAATGACATATGAAATGTCGAGAAACATTATTTTAATGTAGCTTTTCATGGAAGTCACTTCTCAAAATTCGCGACATATTGAAAAAAAAAAATCAAATGTCGAGAATATCATTTCAAAATGTAACTTTTTATTAAGGAAATAATAAATAAGTTGGCACTAAATTTAAATGAGTGGACACTTTTTAACTTATACTCTTAAAATTGGACGTCCTTTAAAATGCCCCTAAATTTTGCATAATCGCTGTAGTGCACGCATTTGGTATTTGAATAAGCAGAATGCCGGCCCTTCTTTTAACATTTTATTCAAGAAAAGGAGCCTTAGAGAAGAAGAAAAGAAAAAGTAAAAAGTTAGATTCTGTACACATGCATGCAGCATGCATGTATAGTATATTCAAGAAAAAGATTAATTGAAAACGTGGTTAAATCAATCCAGCCAGGTTGGCTGTTACTGTGGAGCCAAAATTAAAAAGATGGCTGTAACTTTTTGCCCAATTTCGTTGTGTGGAAACTTTTTGAACCAATGCCAGACCAAGCATATATATGAACATTTTTGTTCAACGTGAAATCAACAAAAAACATGTCTTCGTTGTGGAAATGTATTGTACAGTACGTCAAGTTTATATTTATGACGTCAATGAAAATCCTACTAACTTTATAACATGTTCGCACAAAAAAAGGTTAGATTTTTTGGTAAATAAGATTGTGACTAGATAATATATAATAAATGTTAAAATTTGACCCAAATTTCATTGGGTATATGTGGATTTGTTGAATTGAACTTTGAATAGGTCAAAATATGGACCAATGAAGAAAAACGCCGCATTACCACTAGATTACCGAAGAGTTTTTCAATTGAAAACTGCCGCTCATCTACTACCCACCTAGTGCTCAACCTGCACTCTTGCATCTCGCTTATCACGAGCCTAGCACTCGAGCACCGCTCTTACGCCAAGATTATATTTTTTATTCTACACATTTTTTTATGCTATTTTCATCTTTAGGAATCTCATTAGGATTTGATATGTACCCCTATATATAGTTGGCTATTCTTTGCAATTAGAACATGTTAGACATTATTATAAATACAATATCTTTGTATTCTTTTTCTATATTATAGTGAATTCTCCTTTCTTATAGTGAATTCTCCTTTCTTATGTCAATTTCTTGTGTTCTTCTTTTGTTGTGATCACTACTTTATATCATGCCATAATCTCGTTACTCTAACAAGTGGTGTTAGCATGCATAACTATATAGTTAGATTGTCAACAGTGATACCAGAGCTTAGGGTTTGATTCGTTCGATGTTTTGCTCTTGTAATGGTAATCAACAATTATGATATTTTGCTTTTGGATCGCATCACTAAATTCTTGTTGTGGTAGGTAAAGATGCAAGCAGTGCTCCCTCATATGGATTCAGACGACGTCTTGTTGGGATTTGACAAGATATCCTCAAATTGGCCGATGAAGAAAAACAACATAAGGATCGAAAGGCCCTATCACAAATTCATTTTCATCTTTTGAATCGTATTCTTCAAGGACGTTTTGAGTGAGAAAACCGCGGTTACATTATGATTGAAAATTGGAGCAATTATGTATGATGAAGAGTCTAACTATCAAGTTGCGCTTAAAAATAGCGTTTGTATTCAACCGTAAGACAGAATGTACATCTCTAGAAAATCAACTTGTCGTTTTTAAAGAAATTGTCGTTAATTTGAAAACTTTGGAGGTTAAGTATGATGAAGAGAATTTTAATTTGATTTTAATGTGATCGTTGCCTACTTCATATACTTCATTTAGAGACATGATATTATATAGTTATGACCCTCTCATCCAAGGACGGATCTAAGGGGCGGCGTCGGGGATATTTTTTATTTTTTTTTTGCTAATAATAGATAGAATTTTTATATTATATATTTGATAATTCATATTAAAAACAAATATCTTTGGTATCTTAGCTGGTTAGCAATTCCATTATTGAATTGGAGGTCCTGTGTTCGAAGACTCCAAGGGCAATATTTTTTAAAATTTTTGAATTTCAATAATTTTTATTAAAACAAATGCAAGGAAAGTGATTTGATCTTGCTACCTTCCTTAAACATATTGACCGCTTTATCATCATGATTCTTATTGAATTTTAGCACATAATGTAACAAAATAATATATGTTCAATTTTACTGGTTTAATGCAGGTAGAAACATTTGAACCGATACTTTGTCCCTCTTCTTGATTTTTTCTTTCCTTTTTTTCCCTCTAATTAATTGATTTGTGAGTTTAGTCAATTAATGGTGGATGAATTTGTAGAAAAATTGGTCTTAGTGTCATAAGAAATCTTTCAACAAAATTTATTTAATTAATAAAAGGTTCTACTTTTCGATCACAAAAAATCAATTGCGAAAAAATGGAATCATACAAGCACATAAAATTGATATAAGAACATAAATAATTATAATTTTGTTAATATAATAATGCTTGTTTAATTAACTTTAATTGTAAACTGAATATTGGCATTTTCTTAATATATATTGCCTGTTTAATTAAAAAATAAATTAGGGCATTTTGTAGATTATGGAATTATTTTTTCATCCAAAATGAAAGTTCGTATCTAATTCTAGTTCTAATTGTGTATCTAGTTCTTCTAGTTTTAATCTGTATGATTTTTTAAAATATTATTTAATTAAATATTAATAAACAACCCCGCTATCACAGACATTGGCCGTCGATAGTAAGCTTTCAATGTTCGCGATCTGCTCTAGTCGAACTCGACCACTAGATTCGTCCCTGCTCTCATCGTTGAAGAAGTATATGATGCTTTGTTTTCAAATAGGAAAATGAAGCATCTTGTTGGGTCTGAGGCATAAGGATAAAACCTTATTGTTCATAGTGGTTATGAAAGGGACGGGTTGAAGTCTAACTTCAATAATTAAAATTGTAATTATTGTAAGAAGAAGTGGCAAATTAAGAGGTTTGCTACAATATGCAGAATAAAGAAAAGTTAGCTGCAAATTAGAAGAGAAGACAATAAAAAATTTTAGGTGAAGCCAATGTTGCAGAAAATTGTTTGAGTGATGGAGAACTTTGGATTATTTTTAACAGTGATTCTAAACTTAACGAGAAGTGTATTCTTGATATAGTTTGGATTTTCATATGTGTCCCAATCGAGACTTATTTTCAACATATGTAGAAGTTTCTAAAGGTGTTGTAGTTATGAATGTACCTGTAAAGTAGCTAGTATGGAAAGAGTCGGACTTAAGATGTTGGATGGGACTATAAAAAACTTGATGAAATAAGGGATGTTCCAAATTTGAAAAGAAATCTTATTTCCTTAACTATTTTTTATTCAAAAGAGTACAATTTCATTGGTGAAGGTGAAGTCCTGAAGGTTTGTAAAAGTGCCCATGTTGTACTAGAGAGGTAGCAAAGGTCCCAATTATGTATCTTGCAAGGTTCTGTAGAATCTTTAAAGATCAATCAGTTGAGGTTTAGTATTTTGGTATATATTCAATTTGGTACTGCATTGTTGGAGTTTCGCTTGGGATCCGTGTTTAGAAATGCATCTCAGTTGAGTTTAGAGATTTTGAATAATGTTGCTTTGCCACCGCCAAGAGCGATGCCATTGTATTCAATTGTTAAAGACAGATTTAGAAAAAAAAATATTAGGCCTCCACATAGGTACAATGAAACTGATTTAGTTGTGTATAATTTAAGTGTGGTTGAAAGTGTTGAGTCCAATGAAGAACCTTCAACAAA